CTGATTCATCGTACGCTATTCGCGGGGCGGCGAAAACGCTTGCGTCTTGGCGCGATTCGACGTATTTAAGAGCGAAGCTGCGGCATTAACGTCGTCTTAAAAATCTCACGCTGTTATCCCAATAGCGGAAAATTGCGCGCGCAGCGAAAGGGGCATAATCGATCATAAAAAGAATTGCCGAGGCATACCTGCGTCCTAAATCGGTGATGGAAACGCACGTTGAGCGGTATACGCCGGCATGCAGCGTACTGTGTTCCATAGGCTATCGGCCGTCATCGATCGATCATTCCCCCCGGCCGCCTGTCATTTTTCCACGGTGAGCTAATTTCCTACTTCCTAAAGAGCTTACCGAAGTGAGTTACGGGATATTTTTACCGCGAAGGATCGGTCTCCACGTCCTACGCAGGAAGTTCTATTTGCCTCGCCGTTACACGAAAATACTCGGGTCAACCCTCGTCGGACGCGCCCCCGCGGCCACGATCGAGCGATTTTCTTGGGCAATTTCCTGCCGCGGGGAAGATTATGTCAACGATATCCGCAGCACTCAGTGAATCTCGCGCGTCACATTCTTGATGTGCTCGGCACGCCCCGGCGCGATTAAATTAATAATAGCGCCGGGATATCCGTGTTGTCGTGTACGTACATACAATATCTTTCGACTGGTGTACCGGACGCGAAATGAGCCTGGGATTGATTCAAAGTGATTATCCACTCATTAAATATCTATAGAAGATAACGATGCTTCATCTCTATACGCTGCATATTATAAGCGCGAGGATTACGTATCAATTTAATCGCTCGACACATATACATTTCGGCGCAACCTAATTATCTCTAAAGTTTCAAATTTCCATCGACCTTAGCTGGCCGCATTTTCCGGGCGACGCAACGTCATTATTTGAGGGACACGTTGACAATTAACTTGCGCGACGCCTGTCCTAACATTTGCCGTCTCGCGTATTGTCTGTAAACGAGATCAAGGATGGAGCACACTGGCGGACGACGTTTCTCGTTGATCAGAATAGATGTTATCGGATTCCAAGCTCGAATGCGATTGAACGGCCGCTACATCTAATCAGACTTGTTTCGCGGGATATGGTGAACGGGGGGGCTGGAGAGATCTGACGATACCGGCGGATGCGGACGGATCGATTATTGGTTTTCATCGGATGCAGGGTATCCGATGTATTATTGTATTGGCGGAAAGTCGACGGAGCTCAATCCGCAGAAACAGACCGCGTCCTTGGTTATCCTTTGATAGCTCGCCGGCTAAATTATATGTGGGCAGCAGATCGGCAGTGTTGTTCTCGCGAGACATGTCGGTATCATTCCCCGCTTTTACTTACAAAACTCGTTAACGGCGAGTTATCTCGCAGCGTAATACTCCGCGCGCGATCACGCCCGATAAAACAATGTTTCATTTAAAGTCCGCGCCGCGCACGCTAGATTACGAGTAAATTATCGATCGGCTGACATTAACGAACCTACGTCTCGGACGTATTGCACGTAAACAGTTCCCCCACGTGTCGACTCTCCGGCGGAACAAATTTTACAGCATCCTACGCTACGTCGGCGACCGTGGTACGTTAATAATCCCGCACCGCGTTGGTATTAATTGGCTGCTGAAGGTGGTTTGCAATTTGAGGCGAGCGAGCGAAGCGTTTTGGCGCGATTACATACCTGCCTCGAGTAATAAGACCTACATCGGCGGGGAATGTCTAACGTAGAGCGCAGTAATATTCGCTGACAAAACGACCCCGCGTCGCCGAGGATACGAGGAAATAAACTGACGGGATGTACGTAGCCTTAAAGCCACGCCGCTGAGCACCATCGGCGGCGAGATCGTCGCGCACGCCGTTTTCTAAATCAGGGAAGATTGCGCGCAGAAACGTGCAGCGGCCGTAAAAGGATCCCTACCGTCATCCTCGTTCGATTCCTCGGTACACAGCTTCGAAAGCCGCGAGGCTTCGACGAGAGACGAGAGAGGCCACGGGGAGGGACGCGACAATATCCCGCTCGTGGGCGCGGACGAGCGAAACTCTCCCCGGGAGGAAGAAGAGCGGGCAGCCTCCCGCAGGAGCGACGGGATTCGCGGCCGGAAACGCAAGGACTGTGATCGATGTATAATCACGTGAGAATGTACAATTCCCCTGCCCACTGTGTACGTGCACACGTGGCTGTAACGCTCTCGCGGCGCGCGTACATACTTCCCTCCGCCAGGGAGGGAAACTAATGCCAGCAATTCGGAAGTTTACTGGGTTAACGTCGAGGAAGAATGGCGATCGCTCGTGCCCTACCGCGGAACGAAAAATTAATTTTGCATCCACGATAAAACGCGCGCTTTTTCGGGGCCGGAAGCTCCTTAACCCTTTATTGCCTAAATTTTTTAAATTCTCTCTCTCTCTCTCTCTCTGATGCTTCCAAAACATATGTATTATTTAAAATGCCTAACATTTATTATTGAAGTAGAAATTGCGCTGCTCAATTTTCATTTGTTTTAATTTTAATTTATCGTCGCGATGCGGAAGAGTCTTGATCAAGAGTCACGAGAAGGCGTGGATAAATAAAAAGGCAGAATGAAATTCAGCAGGAGTAAAAAATGCTGCCTAATGGAACCGTACAAAAAAGAATTTGGAATATAATACGGTGACTTTTCTGGCGAACGCCCTCGGTTGCAATTCCTCGCTATTTGTATCGCCATATTTAGATCTCACGTTAACGCGTTAACTGGAGAAACGATTTTGCGCACGGTAACGGCATGGTGCGCCTGATGTTTAATTCCGGGTTTAGGCGACGCGAAACACCGAATTAAAGTTCCGAGCCGGCTCTTAAATACCTGCGAGCTCGCGATAAATCCAGCCATTGGAGCGTAGCCGACCGGATTATTTATCCCAAGATTATTTCCTCGTACAATTCCAACTTCCGGTCTAATCCTCCCGCCGATCGCTAACGCCCGGCCCGGAGTCACCAGCCCGAATCACGAGCCCCGGTGGTTTACGGCAGTTCGCTCCTCGCGATCGCGGGCAAAAAGGCGGCATTACCGGCGTCGCTCATGGGCTGCTTTTATTTCAGGAAAGTCGTCGAACAATTTCTCAACGGATTATACCGAGATTTGCTCTCCGGAAAGTTGGGTAATTCCTTTACAAGTTCGCGCTAGAAGAAGTTTCGTCCCCCCCCCCGCCGCCCAACTCCCCGCGCCTCACCCGCCCCCCCCTCCCGTCTCTCGCGCTCTCTTTTTCCGTCTCGCGTCTTGCGGGGACAATGAGAATAATTTCCTTTCGCTTCAAGGCGCCTCCCTGACGCGACGAAATTAGCGGTTCGGTTTCTGCGGGTTCTCAAATCTGGATTAACGAGATATCGTTGAAAAAAAGCGACGGGTAAGCTCCGACCGCGTCAATCTATGTAGAAGTAATTAACGCACTCGTCTCGGAAAAGTTTCCTCTTTCAACGGAAAACAAGATGTATATGCGGCGCAATAATGTTCATATAATTTGCACAATAGGTAATTCCGCACGATTTATATGCGTGTGTTTATGTGTGATATTTGTTAAATATTTATGAAAAAGTTATTTCATCAGTTATTTCTCAATCGCTGATCAGTGGCGCGATGTACGTTTTACAGAATAGCAATGGATTACAGTGCCAAGTACCTGGTATTTCTGGTTCTATGCCTGGTATTGTCCGAGTACGCGGCGGACGATAAGTACCAAACGAGTCTTTCGAGGAAACGACGTTACGTCGTTTTTCCCGAGGGCTCCACATTTTCCGTGAGTATCGCACAATACCGATTCATTATCGCGAATAATCTCCGTAATCTCCACTTAAATTCGAAGCGGCATTATTATTCGTAGCGCCAGAAATCATTACATTCATGTTAGCTTGAAGAACACATTTTAGAAATATGGCGGTAAATATTAATTTAAATGCAAATGTAACGAGTACGTTAATTAATTTAACATTTAGTTGTAAGAGACGTCGCTCGCAAGCAGCTGCATGCGGTAATTAACTCGATAATTAATTACTTGCCGATTGAATGCACTTGCCAGCGGGTAATTCTGAGGTTACATGGCGAAACAATTACATTTTAATATTATTCACGTGTCATACGCGCTATCACATTTTTAGATACGTAATTGAAACAACTTTCGTCATCAACAGATAACTGTAGTCCGACAGTTACCTAAAATTTTTCAAAGACGCAGGATAATTGCCTTCTTATTTTCTGCCCGCGAGACTTTTATACATAAGCGCAACTCCTTTGTCATAGAAAATTATACGCGTTATTAATCTTACTCCTAAAGTATGAACGTTCTCATTAGAAGAATTGCGGGTTTTAGATTGACAATCGTAAGAATTAAAGTAGAGATACAAAAGCGAGGAAAGGGTAGGCCATAAATCTAATGTATTGCATTTGCATCTTCAGATCGCTCTCTGCTTGACCGTGAACACTCTGACCCCAGACCAGATTTTCACGGAGGGCCTTAACTGGGGTATCTCCTACGACCTGCCTAACGAGAGCAAACCCGCGCTAGAGCCCTTCTTAGAGCTGAGGAACGATAAATTTAAGACGAGCAATAAGCACAATCGTTACGGTTCCACCGCGGTCGCTAATAGCTACGGCGCTCTGAACTCTGGTTGGAATAACAACGTCAAGCAACGCATTACAGCTGGTAAAAAGAAGTACCGCAAGTCAGAGTACTATTACTTAAAGAGGAGACATCGGAGGGATCTTTACAATAAACTGGAACTCATCATGAACGCGTACGTGTTACTGAAATTCTCTTCTTTTTAAACTCGTAACAAATCGATAAACCGCCCAGGAAATAATTAAAGTCACCGGGGTGTCCCTTTAAAACAATCTGCTTCGTGAACAGACAAAATTACTACACACATTTAGGAAGAAAATTACACAAAGGGTAATAAGCGGACGAAGACATATTTATTCTTGAGCGACGGAAGATTATGTGAATGTCTTACGGATGAAAAAATTTGTCCCAAGAAATAATTCTTTAGTTTGAATTTCATGAAGCTCTTTCAGTAGACTAGCGCTTGAGGATTCAGTTCTTGCGGAGCACTCAGTGCCGATCGATAATGCATAATAACGCGAATGATCGGGCATTAAGCAAATTACGACACGGCGGTGTAATGATCGATGTTGTCTGAATTGCGATCCGATTAATTCTGCGCCTGATAACGATTAATAACAACCGCGCCCGTGTTAAGACAACAATTTCTCCGGATCAACGTCGCCCGCCGGCATCCATTCAAATTGAGCGAATATATTAACCTGGATTTCAGGTCGTCTTGAAGGGAGCGACGAATTTTCGCGAGACACGTTCAGACGAGAGACACGCTCGGTAATAAAATGGAACGGCGGTTTTAGCGGCTCCCAGAGCGATCGAACCGGCCGTCTTGTCTCTTTATGGAGACCCGTCGAAGCACCTCGGTTTCCTTCCGTGTCATCTATCGCGGCGTACCGACGTATCGACCGCATTAACGGCGGAAAAGCCGATACATCGCGATAATGATGGCGAGACCGAACTCTTCGTACCGCATGTCGCTCGAAGATAGAGACGCGCTATTATCACGTCACGCGAGCTTACAATTTGTCAAGTCATATCGTATTATCGGACGGACGTATGACGGTGGCAATTACGCGGCGGGTTTCGCCAATTAATTTTAATTATTCGACGGAACGATAATATTGGTGGTGACCAATGCCGACGCCTGATATTTCATAATGTCAAGGCAATCTTTAATCTCCGATCGCGTTAAGAGGATGACGGAGTGATTCGGCACTTTTTGCACCTTTTGCATGCAGAACTGTCAATTCATGAAAACATTCGTGTAGTAATATAGCTTACGTAATATCAAATACAGAGATAAGTCAATTACGCAGAGAATGTAATTAATTGATTTTCATTAATCGATACGGATTTAAATTGCGTTTTATTGGGACGGAAATATTGGCTATCGCAATGTCTAATATTTTATGGACGCGGGTTTTCTTTGCAGAAATTCCATCTTGAAAACTTTGCGCTTAATCGAGAAGCTGTGCAAGTTATAATTTGTATGTAATTTTCAAAAAGGGATCCAAATTAATGGATGCCAAATGAATAAAGTCAAAAACATAGAGATATAAATCGAAAACAATCCAGTTCAATTATTTTATTAGCGCTATTATTTATGATGAATCGCGCGAGTTCATGGATGCGATAATATTTTATCTTAATTGACGAAATGCAACATTGATATTGGCATATTTTATTAAAGTTTATTGACATCGATTGAACAAGCGCAAAGTAATAAATACAGAACACATATTGCCAGAATAAAATCAAGGATAATCGCATAAATGTCCGGAGATTTTTGTTTATCCGATCATGTTTGATCATCTTTCGTGCCCAAAATTTTCATGGTAGAAAGTCCTAACTCGCACTATTTTTATTAATTAATTCATTTATCTGCGGAATTCAAATTTGATATTTGTACACATTTACATATTGCCTCAGCTTTTCCAATCAAATGTGTTTTTTTAAAATTGCACGCGAAACACCGCTGTGTCAGAATCACTTTTCTCCCCATAAAAATATGTAACCCGAAACATCTTTCTTATCGCAATCCATCGGACTTCTGAAGGCAAAAACGATCTTACATTTAAAGAATATCGCAGTACATTAATGAAAAGATAAATTTACGTTACAACGCTTACGAGGCAAATACATTTGCGACTGTAACTGACGTTGTGAGGCGACAAAAAGAGGCCATTTGTCGGGGTCTCGCATAATAATTCAGCGAATGCGTTTATTGCACCCCTCGCGACGCTTTTAAGGACGTTTATCGAACGACATTTAGCAGCACCGTTTACCCCATCCCGCTCGGGATAACGAGGCGACCGTCAGAGTATTGCGGCTAATATCCGTACGAAATCATTCACCCCTTCGCCGAGAAGATGCTAGAGCGGTGGTTTACGCCCGGCGTCTTATGGCGACCGTTTGGTCCTTATGCAAGGATGGTTCTCTCTCTATACATGCACGGGTGTGTATGTGTTGAAGAAAGGGAGGGGGAGGGGAAACGTCGCCGGTGGTTTATAAGGGATTGGTCGGCGGTGGTGCGGCTTAAGGGTGGCATGAATCAGAGGGTGGGCGCCTCCACGGCCGCGGAACGGCACGACGGCCCGATAGCGGCGACGGGGGGTTGTTTCTGAACGGGTCTGGCGGACCATTTATCCGTTTCTCGGGCCAACGACCACGGGAAAATAGTTCCTCTCTCTTCCGCGGCCGAGGGCCATAACCAGATTTATACTCTCTGCCAGGGTGGCCCGATTATTTTCGTCGGTGGCGTTTCGTTCCTGGTCGAATAAGGCCGCGGCAATAGCAGCCGAAAGCTCTTACTCGGGGAAACACATAGCGCCGAAGACATTTAAGTTGAGAACCTCCGTAATAACATTGGCGATAGCTTGCGAAGAAATCTCCCGCGAATGTGATCCGTAGCGCAAAGTCCAAATGTTGGAGCATCTTGCTTTTCTTGTAAAAAGTTGTTTGACGACGAAATTTCAACTGATCGCCACAACAAAAAGTGAAGTATCGATATAGAAGCCATTGATAAATCATAATTAGTAAGGTGAAAAAGTTGAGATTAACCTGATTTAATTTACCTCAGAAAAAAAGTGAAACTTATGTATCGCAAGTATGAAATTCCGTGATAAAGCTTTCGCAATGATCAATCTTGGCTGTGAGAATGAAAAGGAAACTAAGGCCGGTCTTCATAGTCCATTGTTATTTCAAAATCATGTTAAGAGTATACTTAAGATGATCTTAAATATAAGAACGGACTATGAATACCGGCCTAAGTCTTTTCAACTACAGAGCAGCATTCTTTACTGAACAACTTAAGTTTTTGGCAGTTGAAATGATCATAAGTATGAATAAACTCTGAACTTCAGTGTACAACTGAGGGAAACGGCTTTGGGAATTAGTTGTTCACGGTCAAGGGGTGGAAGGTTAGAAAGAGAAAGCCAGAACCTTCGAATATACACATAACACGGACCTTGGCTGCGAGAATGAAGCGAGTCTCTTACACGCCCCCGAATTGATAGGGGATCTCAACTGAAAAGAAACGAAGTCAGAAAGACTCCTGATATTCCCGTCCTGGTATATAGTAGCAGTTTGATAGGCGAAAAAATTACTGTCGCGATCGAACAATCCGCAGATATGACGAAAAACCAACAAGTCGAAGCCGAATTTAATGAAAGACTAGACGGATTTTTGAAGCGTTTTTCAGGGCGCAATCTTTTTAATCTTTGACGGAAAAATGTACGAGGCACGAAAGAATCTATGGAATCCTTAAGTTCCTTCCTTTTTAAAGTAATAAGTTCGCTAAGAGCTTGTTACCGAGGAGATGGATTATTTACGTTCTCTATCCTTTTACTTACGTTACATAAATCGTATTAATGAACATATTTATCAACTAATTTGAATTTATAAGCTTTTTTAGAAGGATGGCTGCGTTCACACTAGAAATAAATAAGTAGATACATATCGACCTCTAATTACATCTCGCAAGCGTTTTATGTTACACAGAAGTTTCTCTTATTTTTTTTAGGATGGGTTTTGATGGCAGGACTTGTGTTTTACGCGCGCTTTGCGAAGCATCCCAACGATTAATGCCAAAGGGCAACACCTTGATAGAGGAAATGATGAGAATATCATTCTCGTAAGTTTCTCAAATGAGAATGGATTTGGCAAATGCACGCTTCGAAGGGTCGTAGATTAGTATCCTATTTTTCGAATTTTTTCCTCTACATTTCACTTTAAGAATTCATGAATATTAAGTGCCGCGTAACTTTAAAATAATGTGATTCAACGAAGGAGGAAGAGAAGGGAGAAAAGAACAAATGCGGTGGAAGACGCAGTTAGCTGTGATACTACGAAAGTGCAAGATTTATAATAACGCTAAATAATAACGCTGGATAAATAGCTTTTCTCAAGACGAATTAAACACAGACAGAGCTACATTCCGATAACTTTTTGATAAATGTAAAATCTTTCTTTATTAAAAATGGTAGAAATAGTGAAAACTCTTTTCGATAGAAACCTTTCGCGCTTTGGTATCTTCGTTATTAGTCTGAAAATATAAATTCTATTATCCACTCGACATTAACTGGCCAGTACGTAGTTTTGTAGTTTCGTTAGCTATTTGTCCTCTCGTTCGTGAAAAACCCTTCACTTTCAATCGTTTGCACAAGCATAAAAGCTATCGAGAGTATCTTGACATTTTCGATTATGTATTTCAATTATATGATTCGCTACTCGATCCCTATCTATTTAGGGAAACATTCTATGTAAAATTTTGCGCGATATTATGTATCTCTCTTATCTATCTCTCCCTCTCTCTCTGAGAAAATAATTTACGATTTTGTTCACTTTTAGCTGCCACTTTAACTTTTTTCTTAAAAGTGTATCACAAATTTAAATGCACCTCTCTTAATTAAATTTTCTATAATTTGTACTAGATTTAATTCAGTGTAAAATCTACAAATTTCCTTGGAATGTTATGCATTAATTTATTTAAATTCCATCTCTTCTAAATTAAATTATAGAGACAATTATGTGTCCCCCTCATAAAAGAATAAAATTCGAGGCAAAACGATGGCGGATCAGAAACATAATTCATATACGATTGAAAGTCTTCTATCTCGGGGGACCGCCTCGATTATTCTATAATTGACTATTACAAGCAACCTACTCATCTTGAGCGCTGCGCGATTTGCAAAAAAATTAGGAACGTTCCGGGGAGGATTCTCTCCTGAGAGACCATCGTTCTATTCTTCCAGAAGAATATTTCAGACATAATATGATACTCGATAGCTGATACAAGGAAGATCAGGGCGCGCGCTCCCCGGCCTTCTCTCCTCGCCGATTTTTTACGGCCCTTCGATGCGTAATTCGATTGTTGCCATGGAAGCTGATGAACGCACGACTTGCAATCTACGAGATAACTCGCTTTGCCCCTCTCGTTGCAGATTACCCTTGAAGAGAGTGTTCTCCTTTGAGCCGCAGGAGCATCGCACGTATACCCAGGCTCACAAAGCCGGCCACGAGGGCAAGGACTGCGCGACCATGTTTCCCGGGTGCAGTTTCTCCCTCATCGACTTGGCGCTTGGGAAATATAACGCATCCCCGTCCGACCGCCCCGGGGATGCTGCGGACCACGCCGGAACTTTTGGCACGGAGGACGGGCCTGTCGTGGATTGGCCGAGATACAACATGAGGTAACGCGATGCATGCAAACGGCAGCCTGATTTCAACGCCGCGCGAACATGGAGAACGCCTCCCTTACGATGCCGACGACTCGACCTCGACCGACGTAAACGATCACCACGGACGGATTAGAAGGACGCGGGGTTGATAGAATTCGTAATTTAAAACACGCAGATGAGAAAATCTTGCTGCGCTCGCTCGCCAATCGCTGCCATCGTCACGAATGCTCCGAATGTTTATGTTGTACGAAGCGGCGAAGGCATCGATCATATATTGGAAGGACAGCCTCTGACAACTGTACCTCACACGCTATAATATTAACATCAATGTCCTGATAATTAACGTCGCTATTCAGCCTTTATAACTATTATTAATATCGCGTGTAAAAGCACAAGCGCGAATTACGTTCAAACAACTAATACGCGATTTGCGGGTACATCATTAAACAGAATGACGCGAATAACAGAGTTGGAAGTGGAAAGTGGGACGCTGAAAATCGGAGAAACATTTCACATGGCGCCAGCGAGATGGATATGGTTGATACGCCCCGTAACAAGCTATAACAATGTTCCTCGTTACATCGTTATCGTGCATGATAATATGATTTAACTAATTGGACAGGATTGTACCGAATTGCATGACAGGGGCGGGAAACGAGAAAAAATATCGGGAACCGATAGATTGAAGAGGAGATTGAGGAAGGAACGGCTTAAGGACTGTCGGAATTCAAAGGAATGTATTCTATTCCATTTCTGCAAGTACCTCGCCAATATTGTACATGATATTTTTAGAATACTAGAAATGACAAAACGCGCCCTTCGCGCGCGTAGTTTGCAGTTGAGTATTGGTATATTTTTAAGAATTTATATACATGCAAAGCAGTAATTGTATGCGCAACGTCAATTTAAAATAAAAAGTAATTTATCACTCACTGATACGATTTGCAACAGCAGAGTTGTACATCGTTAACTTATATGTTCAACTGTAAAAATGCAAAATATGCATATGATTATTATAGGCTAATTATGTAAAATCGAAATTACTGTATTAAATATACTTTATATTTTATATATTTTAAAATAGGTATTTATTGAAAGAATTATATATAATAGAATACTGAACGAGTCTTCCTTTTAAATATACACTCACAAAATTTTACGTATGGTTTTGTCTCTAACACTTATTCGAATCATCGTTCGAATAAGTATTAGAATAAATAAAATAAAAGCACAGGACAGATGCTTTATTTTACACAAGTAGCAAATAACATAAAAATGTAAGACACTTACCTTACGATTTTTCCGCCGTTGCTCGATGCCTCCTTAGCCTCCTCCTCCTCCTCTCAGATTTCCTTGTGACGCTCACACAACACTCACTCGCGAGAATCACCGATCGCGCGAAATTTCGGACACTCCCGTACGCGATGTGAAATACCGCAAAACGCACGAAATAGTATTAACAAATATCGCGTGACTTTCTGTCATACAAATTACTCAAACTAACAATTTGCATTTTTGAATCGGAAGAATAGGATAATGGATAAAACACTTTTGAATTGGCGATATAAAACGCAACGCGAGCACCGGAAGCATAGTCTGCGGTAAAGAAATAATGTAACGACGTGCAATAAGCGACTTTCTTTACTCCCGGCCCGTTCAAGCTGCGAAGAATCACAGAGCGAATTACAGCACGAACGCCGAAGTCGTACAAATTTCTCTCTTTTCCCGAAAATGGAACAGATTACACGAAATCGATAGATAATTAAAAGCGCGGTGCGTAAACGAGATGTAACAGCGACAAAGTACCACGATTTACCTTCATATTTTAGATGAGTTAGTCTCGCGAAATATCTATTGGTATACGTTGATAAAGAGCCGTCGCCTCAACATACAATTCGTTTCTCATTACAAGTTGTAGAAACTTAATAATTAATCAAGGAACATTACTTGTTACTGATACTTAAAGGTGTGCAAATCAATAGTGTTTTATCCCTGCATTCATCGCGATCGAGTCTTGGAAATCAATAACGCAAAAGTAATACCACGCACGGAGCGACTCGATCGCCACTGCTTGTCGGCTCGACGTTCGGCGAGCGAGTGAGCGCGGCGACCTTCAGGTAAACGTTGGCCCGCGTGACGTCGTACGATACCGCGCCGAGTGAAAAACAACAAAAAAACGTTGAGAATTCGTTGTCCCGTCTACGAAATTGAAAATTCTATACCTAATATTTCTAATTACTTTGTTCAGTGACTGTTTTTGCGTATCATTCTGCGGACTTATTGGTATTGATGAAATTAGCGATTAATTCTGTTCAATCGGGAAAATGTTTCGAAACAAAAATCGTTGTTACTTAAATTCTAATTGCTAAGATTAGAGATTTTACCTCAATAGTTGATGTATACAAATGTATATTTCTAAATTGCAAATCTTCATTTACTATGAATCTAAAAGATAAGTGAAGCACACGCTCTTGGAGAAAAGCAATCGGCATCGCGGAAAAGAGGCCTCAGCTGTTCGATTATAACGACATTCGCGCTGGTCACATCTCTTTTTTAGAAACGGAAATAGAGACCCCCTACATCTCGCAGCATTATTACGCGAGATTCGCAACGTCGGTTTAAAATCAGAGTTTCATGTCTCTCCAACGATGCTGCTATCTGAAGAACTCTATCGGAAATTTATCAGTTGAATCGATCAGGGCGAAGATACGTATTTTGATTTCGACTATTGCTTTTAATGAAAACGTAATCCTGATCATTTGAACGCGATGAACAGCATATGTAGTGTCTTTTTAATTACGTTAATATTTGTTCATAAATTATGGACATTGCGAGTGCCGAGTGTTATAAAATGCGAGGCTGTTACGAGTTCGTAATCGTGGAATTCAAACGTACGCGCAAATTTCGACGTAAATAAAGTCACATTTTGCGTTGATAAAATTGCACTTAGAACATAATCAACATATTTTACGCGAAATTGTCAAGTTATTCGATCATTTTTAACCGTTTATAACAAAACGAATACAAATCGTATCGTAAAGCGTAACTAATTGTGAAGTACAAATTAATTTTAACAATATCTCTGAAACTTGATTAAAACCTAGAGAACCTTTTAGGCCGGTATTTATAGTCGGATCTTATATTTAAGACCGTCTTGAATTTATCTAAAAATGCTGTACGGAACATTTCATTGGCTACGGAGTATCTAAAGATGATCTTGAGACGGTCTTGAATATAAGATCTGACGATGAATATTGGCCTTAGACTCATACAATTATAAAAGGAACGAAGTTGAAAATCCAATTCTTCGCCAGTGAATAAAACAACAATGGTTGAGAAATATAATATCATGTAATTACGTTATCCTACGGACCTGAATGAAAAATCATATGAGGTAAAAATAAACTCGAAGGGCTGGTATACATCGCACTTATTTTACTTACATTTGTTTGTTCTGCCTATAACTTCAGGGACAACCATTTTTCAAATATGTTGTTATAAAGCATGCAAGAAGATGCGATAGGAGTTTAATCGTGCACGGCCGATGTGGATTGGGTGAGATATGACACGAAATGGGACGGTGCATCAAGAAGCGGTAGAAGTAGCAGGGGGTGAGTGATGGAAACTGGAGAGGAGGAGAGTACCCTTGAGATAGCACTTACGTTGTATTTGCACGTGTCATAAATACTTTATATCTTCGCGAAAAAAAAACAGATAATTTCCCTGGAACCTGCGTGCATCGTCAAAATTATTTCGCGCAGCGTATAACTCCAGCGATTAAGCAGTCGTAATTTTCTCCGCAGAGTTTTAGGATTCAAGGAAGACTTTATTTGCTGGAGAGCCTTAAGTGCGCCTGAATTTTATTTGCGCATTGTGACGACAGCGAAGCTACATTTTCGTTATTTTCCCCCAAATCAGTCTGGTTTCCATAACCTTCCGTTTCCGTTCCTCGTCGCTCTTTCTTATCCTTCGCCCGGTGCTTTCTATCTAATATCATAGCGTGGCTGCGGGACGAAGAATGAAAAATTACATCGGCCCTTCGAGAGACCCTCGGGCAGCGCCGGTAACGATATAAGAGTGACGAGACTGTTTCGCCGTGTGGGCCACCAGAGAGACATCGTGCGATGGGCCCTTCGTGTGCCCTCGCCGAGAGAAATTGATTTTGGATTTATTCGATGACGTCAGTGTCCGGTGGGGGCGTCTCCGCGGGAATAATGACACTCTCGCGGCGCCGATGTCGTTGATATTACTGGCGATGAAAGAAACCCGATATATTGATTGCGTGGCGAAAGCAGGGCTCGTTAATAATACTAGGTCCGGTAATTCTCGCTATTAACCGCAAAGTAATATCTGTTGCCGTGCGGCGAGGGAATACAATCCCGGA